CCTCAATGATTCCATGATTCCAATCTCAGTGATTCCATTATTCCAACCTTAGTGATTCCATGATTCCAACCTCAGTGATTCCATTATTCCAATCTCAGTAATTCCATGATTCCAACCTCAGTGATTCCATGATTCCAGCCTCAATGATTGCGTGATTCCAATCCCAATGATTCCGTGGTTCCAACCTCAATAATTCCATGATTCCAAAGAACACCCACCCCAGGGGGGTCACAGGGACGATCCCCCAGCCCCTCTTGCCATCCACGTGCTTTCCCACAGGGTTGGTCTTTGCCATGGACGTGCTCTGGCTGTTCCTGAGGCGCTGCATCCCACAGCTCCTTAAAAACTTAAAAACCACCCATGGACACTTTTCCAGGTGTACTCTGTGCCTCCCTACCTACAGGGGAGACGACCATTCACGTCTGTCAGCATTTTCTGCAAGCATTTGCTTCATTAGGGGTGCCTCAAGAGATAAAAACAGATAATGGCCTTGCATACAGAGCCAAAAAGTTGAGGATTTGTCTGCATCCCCTTCCAGAGGCACATCCAGCCAACAGCACAGCCCCCCCTCCGTGTAACTGTTTGGGGTTTTGACAGTTTTATAACCCTAAATTTGCACCTTCTGGAGAATGGTGACAGTTAATGATTCATTGCCGTGCTGGAATTTTTCTTATGATGTCTTAATACCCAAGCATGGAGCAGAGCTCAGCAGAGAGGGAAAATAAAAACCAGGAGCAAAACAGTTTGGGAAAAAATCCCTGTGAGGGTGGCACAGGGTGCCCAGAGCAGCTGTGGCTGCCCCTGGATCCCTGGCAGTGCCCAAGGCCAGGCTGGATGGAGCTTGGAGCACCCTGGGATGGTGGAAGGAGTCCCTGGCAAAGGAGGGAGATTTTAAGTTCCTCCAGCCCATAATCTGTGGGAACTCCAGTAGGTGGCTCCTGTAGGAACAAATTAAAAACCAGTTTGGAGTGAGACACTTCCATTGGTGCACGTTCAGATCAAACCTAAATGTGGGGTGTGGGACAGCAGTGGAAAGGATTTGGGTCCCTCCTTAGACCTGGAATTGCCAAAACCTGACAGTGCAATTTGTAACTCATCAAAGCCTGGCCCAGATCAAGGACAGGTTTTAGTGAGGACTGTGCCTTTCTGTGTCCATGGTTGGTTTATTCCTCAGCAGAAGCTGACCTGCTCCCTTTTCTCCTGGTGCTTCCAGTAGTTCTCTGAATTTCTCTGGGATTCACAAAACCATCTCCTGTCTAGACAGAGGTGATTATTTATTTACCTGTTTTCGTCTGCACTGAACAGCAGAGATTAAATCCTCATGCAAATATTCAGTTAAGGAGTTAACAAGAAATTAAATTCATAATGGGAAATTTTAAATTATTGTTGCTTCTATTTAATAATGTGACTTTTTTTTCTGTGCCTATGATAAATTTTTGGGGAAAACGACATATATGAGTATTTTTCTAGGAATAGTTTAACAAATACACTCCAGTGCAGGCAGAGACTCTACTTTGACTTTTAGACTCTACTTTGGGGCAGCAGGAAGGACTGGATGGTTCTTGAGGTTTCCTTTTTCCCTTGAAATGATTTATAATCCTTCCAGGCATCCCAGTTTTGGCTTTTCTGTGCCAATGGCTCAATATCAGGGAGCCCCAGTGAGGTGACCCTGTCCTCATGCTGTGGACAAGCTCCAGGTAGCCCTCACCTGTGTTTTAGAGTTTCCAGTTTGTTTTTGTCCCTTCTGGACAAATATCCAGGCTGTGCCAGGGAATTTGAGCTTCCTCTGCCTACTGAATGTTTGTAACAATCTGGGATTTCAAAAAAAAAAAACCACCAAACCCCAGCCAAACAAAGAAGCCCAACCTGTAAAAAAGTTAAGGCTGGAGGTGCCCATTTTCTGACAGAGGGGTTTGGTAACGGGACAGGGAACAAAAATGTGAGGAATAATTGGTTTTGGGCCTAGAACCAGGAAAACTACTTTTCCAAATTAATCCAGCGAGAGCCATGAATCCACTGTATTTCATATCACACTTCATAAAACTCCAGTCATAATCCATAAAAGTGACATTATTAGATTAAAACCCTCAGTTCCTCCTAGAAGGAGCTCACTCATTAGACATGCTGTAGTTTTATAACCTCAAAGTTCCTCCCCAATTACCATGATTAATACAGGGCTTTAATAAAAAATTTCTCCCAATCACCACAGGGGTTGATCCCATCTGGTTGGTGTAATTGGGAGTTTCAATATTGTCCAGCAAGGGAAGGACGCTCCGGGAACACAAATCAAGGCTGAGGATGGATGGGGATGGAGGTCTGGAGATCCAGCTGGCTTTTGGTGGTGGTTGGAGCATGGAAAAGTCCAGGTGATGTGAGCCAGAGGCTGGGATTGCTGGGGGAAGTGGGGATGAATTCTCCCTCCTCGTGCAGATGATGAAGGGTCAGGGAAGCTCCCCGTGCTCTTCCAGCAGGGATGTGCCCTGGGAAATCCATCCTAAACTGAACATCCCAACTGCAGCCAGCACACTTCTGCTCTGAGGGAGCAGCACGTGGAAGCTCCAGAGGAAAGGCAGGATTCGGGGCGAAATAGGTGCTGCCTGCTGAGGTATGGATGGCAGTGGATCCATAAATCCTGCTCCTGTGGGATCCTGGGAGACACCAGGCTCAGCTTCACCCTTGGTGCCACGGACATGTCCATCCCTCTGCTCTGCTCTGGGGACTCTCACCTGGAGCACTGCCACCAGCATGAGGATGTGGAGCTGCTGGAGCCAATCCAGAGGAGGCCACAGGGATGCTCAGAGGGCTGGAGCCCCTCTGGAGCCAGGCTGGGAGAGCTGGAGCTGCTCACGTGGAGAGGAGAAGGCTCCAGGGAGAGCTCAGAGCCCTTCCAGGGCATAAAGGGGCTCCAGGAGAGCTGGAGAGGGACTGGGGACAAGGGATGGAGGGACAGGACACAGGGAATGGCTTCACATGAACAGAGATCAGCGCTAGTGGAACATTGGGAAGGAATTGTTCCCTGGGAGGGTGGCACAGATTCCCAGAGCAGCTGTGGCTGCCCCTGGATCCCTGGCAGTGCCCAAGGCGAGGCTGGACAGGGCTTGGAGCAGCCTGGGACAGTGGGAGGTGTTGGGGGGGGAACTGGAGGAGTTTAAGGTCTCTTCCCACCCAAACCATTCCATGACGATGATGATGATGATGATGATGAAATAACATAAAACTCACTCTCGATGGCCACGAAGCCGCTTGCTGGGACACCACCCTCAACACGTTTGAAAATCCCGTTGTTTGGCTTTGCAGCAGGAATTCCTTTGAGGTTTGTCCTTGCAGATCCGAGGGGTCCGTGGTTCCATCCACCCCCGGGTGAGCAGGAGCTGGTGTGAGCTCCAAGCCTCAGCCAGAAGCAGTGAAATTAAAAATGTGTCGGCTCCGCAGTTCCACCCCGGCCCAGAGAACGCCAAACTCGTGTTATTTTTGAATCCCCTGATTTTTCAGGGCTGCTGGAAATAAGAGCTCCTGCTCCTGACTCCCAAGCAATAAAGAGAGGTGAATCACTCCTGAAAAAAGCCCTCCCGTGGACCACCCAGGGGCTCCTGCAGAGCTGGGAACCAGAAGTGGCAAAGCACAGAAGGATTTTCTTAACACAACTGCAACTGCACGAGGCAAAATCACCTCGGAACAGGAGCAGAGTGAGAGGTGTGATAATGAAGCCAGGCTGATTAATATGCATCGAGCTAAATCACATTCAGGTCACAGAGCAAGCCCCAAACCTCGACTGTAACATGTTCCCCTCCAGGACCCAACATGTGTCTGGAATTCAGATAGAAATCGCTTTTTTCCCCCCTCATAATTACCCAACTCAGCATAAAGTATTATTTTTTTAACTAAATAATAGTTAGGATTTTTGTTCCTTGCTGTGATTGGTCAGAGCTCTCCTTTTTTTAACAATCTCTGACTTTCTGAAGGGTCCTGCTGGGGTTTTAAAACTTGTAACTTGCAAATCACCATGTCAGAAACTGTGGTGCCAGTCATATAAAATATGAAATCACACGTTCTTAGCATTTATTTGTTGTCATTTTTAATGAGAAAACATGGATTTTTTCCAACAGAACAGTGGCTGAAAGTCCTCAGGCTGAAACTGTCCCTGTGTTCTTGATTCTTACTGTGGAGTGGTATTTTGGGAGACCACATGCAAGATATTCTCCTAAACAGCCAATAAAAGCTAAAATTAAAACAAAATAACGCCTCTTAAAATGCACGCTTCTATATTTAATGCTGCTCTTTAATTAGAAGTTCCAAGGTTTCCTCCTGAAGGGTTTCAGGAGCGTTGCTCTCACGGATCCCTTGGAATAAGCAGGAATTGGGTGATTCCTGTGGGAAATTAAGTCACTTTGGAAATGAAGGCACTTTGAAAATTAAGTCACTTTGGAAATCAAGTCACTTTGGAAATCAAGGCACTGGAAATTGAGGCACTGTGGAAAACAAGTCACTTTGGAAATTAAGTCACTACGGAAATCAAGTCACTGGAAATCAAGACACTGTGGAAATCGAGTCACTTTGGAAATTGAGTCACTGTGGAAATCAAGTCACTGTGGAAATCAAGTCACTTTGGAAATCAAGGCACTGGAAATTGAGGCACTGTGGAAATCGAGGCACTGTGGAAATCAGGTCACTTTGGAAATTGAGTCACTGTGGAAATCAAGTCACTGTGGAAATCAAGTCACTTTGGAAATCAAGTCACTGGAAATCGAGGCACTGTGAAAATCGAGGCACTGTGGAAATGGAGTCACTCTCTGATCTCTCTTGCTGGAAGCACAGGCACAGGCAGAGCTCACGTGTGAACCAGAGCTGGTTCACATTTGGAATCTCTGGGCTGGGGCCTGGGCTCCAGGCAGGCTTTGCCATCCCGGAACGTCCTCGCTGGGATGCTCCAACCCCTCACCGCGCCTTTTGTTGGCATTTCGGGACATCCAGCGCTCTCTGCCTCCTTGTTCCCCATGCAGGTGCTCCTGATCATAAGCGGGAACCTGAGTTTCCTGAACTGGCTGACCATGGTGCCCAGCCTGGCCTGCTTTGACGACGCCAGCCTGGGGCTCCTCTTCGGCTCGCGGCTGCGGGAGCGGGCGGCGCGGCTGCAGCTGCCGGGGGCGCGGGGACAGCGGCTTTCCCTGGGTGAGTTATCCCCGACAGGGGAAGGGTGGCATTTGGGTGTGCTTGGCCCCAAAGCTCTCACCTTCAAGGCAAAGCTCTGCTGCTGTGTGGGCAGAGATATCGTGGTGGTTGAGGGTCTGCGGGGACATGGCCATGGGGACATTGCCACGGGGACGTTGCCACGGGGACGTTGTTTGTGGGACATGCCCTCTGCAGGATCAATGTCACAGCAAGTCCAGGCAGCTGCAGCTCTTAAGTCAATCCTTGCTCTGCCCCCGGTGACTCAAACTCAAAATAAGAATGGGGAGTTGCATGATTTCACTTACTTTTTAAATTTTTTTTTAAATAATTTTGACTGTTTAAAGTCAAGGATAAAACACCCAGTGGGGCTTGAGGTGAGGTTAGAAGCTGTGTTCTTACATTTGCTCTCTTCATTTGCTCTCTTTCAAGACGTGGTGAAGAGAAGGTTCCAGAGAGAACTTTGAGCCCTTTCCAGTTCCTAAAGTGACCTGGAGAGGGAGAACTGGAGAGGGACTTGGGACAAGGGATGGAGAGACAGGACGCAGGGAATGGCTGCAAACTGACAGGGCTGGATGGGATATTGGGAAGGAATTCCTGCTGGGAGGGTGGGCAGACCCTGGCACAGATTCCCAGTGAAGCTGTGGCTGCCCCTGGATCCCTGGAGGTGTCCAAGGCCAGGCTGGACAGGGTTTGGAGCAGCCTGGGCTGGTGGAAGGAGCAGCTGCTGGTGGCCACCTCTGGTAGCGAGGCCACCATCGTGGTGGGGAGAGAATTCCCCAAACCAGGGAGGAGGAGAACTCCTGCTCATCCCGTGGATGTGAAAAAACAAACACAGGGTGGGTTGTAGCTGGAAAAAAGGGCTCGAGGTGGCTGATTCCCCCTTCCAGAGGCGCTTTCCAAGCTGCCCTGATCCAGGAGAAGCAGCGCTGGGATGTTTCTCATGAGGCTGCGGAACAGATGGAGAGTGGTGTGTGCAGCATTTTTATAAACCACATATAAGCAACAAATTGCCTGTAATATCAACAACAATCACAGCTGCTGGGGTTAAATATCCCAAACATCTGTCAGAGGAAGGAAAAATGTCAACAAGAGGCAGCATCTGTCTCCAGTCTTTTCTACCAAGAAGCAGCTCATTAACCAAAAATGGGAGGTCCAGCCATGCAACTTTGTTAAGTTTTGCCTTTTATTTCACATATTTTGCTGGAATCAATCTTTATCAGCTTTTCCCCTCCTGGAGCTTTGCTTTGGAGGCTGTGAAAGTCTCAGACTTTTCCTCCCAACTCCATTTATGCCTCCAATCCCAAACAACACTGAGGCTGCACCTTGTTTTTGGGAGGAGAAGCCAAAGGGAGTCACTGTGAGGGGGAGGCAGATCCTGTTTTGAGGAACTTGCACCTTTTCTGTGATGTTCTCCAGAAAGGCTGACTGAGCCAGGCTGTCCAAGCAAGGAGAATGCCCATCCCGCTCGGGGTGGAGCTGTGTCCCACCCTCAGGAGGGGCGGGGTGTCTGTAACATCCCAGAAATTGGAATTCCTGCGTGTTTTCTCTGCTCAGGAAGCTGGGGCTGCTGAGCTGGTGGTGATGGGTGCCAAGAGGCTCAGAGGAGCCCTCAGTCCTCGGCCACCAGGGCAGAAGACAGGAGAGCCCCCAGCCATATTCCGATTTTCTGAGACCAGTCCTTGAAGTGTTTGATTCCTTCTGAGGCCTCCACTTCCCATGCAGATCCCACTGGCTCCTGTCCCCACATTTTGCTCCATCTGGATTATTTTTTTCCTTGAATTAGCCCCTTTTTCTCTCTGATGGAGTGGCTGTGACCCCAAGGTCAGGGAGACAGGAGGAGAAACGCTCCTGCTGAAGGATGAGCAGTCCCTGCATGGCCATGGCCTGCTGAGGAGCCAGGGGAGGCTCTGTGCCTGTACCTGCTCTTGATTTACAGGGGAAGAAGTTCAGCCCATCTCAAAAAACCCCAAAAAATGCCCCAAAGCCTCGTACCCAGGGGGTGAGGGAAGGCCCGATTCAAACGGTTCTCCAGAAATGTTCTCAGACTAAACAATTATTAATAGCTTCTGAGAGAGGTTCAAATAAACATCCCTCTCCTGCAGAGATAAGGGGAAAGCTCCACGCAATTGCTTTGAATCTGATCCTTTGGCTGTTAATGTTAAATAAATTGAAAAGGGCCATGAGGGAAGGAGCCCCTGGGGGGTCACCTCTGCTTATTTGTCTGATGGTGGCCTGGGATGCAGCCCAGCCCCGTGCTGCTCCTGCAAACCCCATCCCAGAGCGCTGGCACAGCAACACACATCTCCTCCAGGAGCGCTGGGGAGCTGGGATTTTGCAGGAGGAAAAGCCCTGAGGATGGGGAGAGCTCGGGGCAGCAGGAGGAGGCAGGAGCGGCCCCAGGCCTCCAGCACGGCTCCCAAAGCTGGAGGAGCTGATCCCGAGCAAGGTGCAAGTGCCAGCTGTGGTTTTTCCCCTGTATTAAAGGCATGATTGATGTCACATTTTAGACATTTTTCCTTTTAGCCCTTGCTCAGACTATTTAGAGAAAGGCAGATCCCAGTGGCGATAGCGGCCTGTGGCAAGGCCGGGGTGGCCACGGCAGGGCCAGCACGGGGGGCCTGGGGTGTAATTGGATAAAAAAGTCCACATTGAGGGGCACAGGTGGTTGGTTATTGGGTTAAAAATGAAAATAATTTAGGTGTCCTTTCTTAACTGGATAGTTCATCCTTAAAAGGCCTTGCAGAGAGAGGATGGGCTCCATTTTTAGTTTGTTAGAGTGAAGTGCTGCAGAACTCAGCGTTTGTGAGACTGTGACATGGATAAGAACTGACAAACATCTGAGTCCCAACAAGAAATACTGACTCGTGCATTTAATCCCAACCTTGGCAAAAAGAAGCAAAGACTCAGCAGGAATGGGAATGGGGATGGGGATGTGAGCAGAGCAGTGAAATCACCTCCCTGTGCTCTGGTTTGGTGTCCCCCACAGGCTCCTGTGTCCGCAGAGTGCTGAACATCTCCTTGGGCCTCCTCATCACCTACCTGAGCATCCCGGTGGTGCTGAACCTGCTCAGCTCCAGACAGGTCATGAACACCTCCTTCAACCCCCTCAGGATCGTCAACACCTACGGAGCCTTTGGGAGGTACCTGTGGGCCTTTAGTGGCACATCCCAGAGCTCCCTCCAGGATGTTCCAGAGCCAGACCTGCTGTGTGCCTTAAACCTAAAGAGAAATCCTTCCAGCAGGCCTGGAATATGAGGGAGATGGAGAGAAGGAGCAGGTTTCTTTCCCTGTGAAATACAGTGTATGATGTGTCTGTTTATGAGAGAGATGGAGAAAAGGGGCAGGTTCCTTTCCCACTAAATTCCAATTTATGGATTATCTGTTTAGGAGAAATAAAGAGAAAAGGAACAGGTTTCTTTCCCACTAAATTCCAATTTATGGATTATCTGTTTAGGTGAAATAAAGAGAAAAGAAAGAGGTTTCTTTCCCACTAAACTCCAATTTATGGATTATCTGTTTAGGAGAAATAAAGAGAAAAGGAGCAGGTTTCTTTCCCACTGAATTTATTTTCTCTGAGCTGTCTATGAGTCAGCTCATTCCATCGACATAGCAAATGTGAGAGCAGGATGAAAATATCCATAGGAGCAGGATGAAAATATCCATAGGAGAGTTCACCCAGGATATCTTCATCATCCCCAGCCCTCTTTATTTCTGGTGAGCTTCTCTTCCCCTGCACTCCTTTGCTCTCCCTCCTGGAAGCATCCACAACAGCTCTTGGTAGCAGATTTTTCCAGTGAGTGGCTTGGGAAATTCATTGTATATGTATATAAATATAAATATAATCATAAATATAAATATATTTTGCAGAAGGTGAAGCAGTTTGGCTGTTAAAGGTCTGGCCTCCTCAGTGAAGGGGAGGAACGAGTCCCACCACAAGCACTGGAGGTGCTGAGGACATATCAAATGAATATAATTTTTCCTCAGTTTTTCAAATAGCAGAAATTTCTGTGGACAGAAAAAAACTAGAAAAATACTAAAAACATCAACACTTGTGGAAAATGCCAAAATTTCCTCTTTTTTTTTTGAGAGAGAGAGAGAAATAAGCCCTGAACTTCTTTGAAGGCTGGAGTGGTGAAGCTCCAGGAGATTGTTTTCTTTGGGTTGTTGTCCTTTTTCTTCTCCAGCCTTTGGTTTCCATTTCAGCAGTTACCAGACCCTACAGAGCATGTGCTGAAATGCTGCTGTAATATGTTGGTAATTCCAGCCTATGTAAACCAATAAAAAGAGGATTGCAGCTTATAATGAACCTGGGATGATGTGAAAGCTGACAGGTTTGGGATCACACAGTAGGAGCAGCCTTTTATTGGTAATTTGGTGTCCCTGATTTACAGGGTGTTCCTGAGCCTTGGGCAGCTGGCCACAGCTCAGAGCTGAGCCCAGGGGATAAAATGGAACTTGGCTGGAGAATGCACAGATCTCCTCAATGGAGGCAACAATTACAAGAGGAGATGCTCAGCATTCCTTAGGTTGGGAGCATCTCTCCCTGGGAGCCATCGGGGCAGAAGGTGGAGGTTGTGTGTTTCCCAAATTTTCAGTTTCTTGGGCTGGAGGAGGCAAAATCAAAGTAGAAGAAAATCCAAAGGGTGTTGTAGCTGCAGAGCTTTGCCAGGCAGGTTTCTGTAGCTCTGTGCTCAGTGTGGAAAGCAGCTCCTGGGGCAGGTGGGTGTCTCTGGCAGCTCAGCCAGGACTCCAGGGTGGTGTTTCCATGGCCTGGAGTTGGCCATTCCCACTTCTCCATGATGGGATTGCAGCTGAGCCACGTGGGAGTACTCATGAGCAGCTCTGATCCACAGCCCCGCCTGTCCTGTTAGGAATCATCTTTATGGATCCCAGCTGGCCCTCGGGCTGCTACAGCTGCAGGTGGTGAAAGGAACAGCTTGGAATTTCACTTTGCTGCTGGAGAGAGAGAGGTGCCAGGATCCAGAGGTTCTCTGGATGCCAGGATCCAACTGTGCCTCCAGGCCAGTTACTTGTGGGCTCTCAAGAACCAGAGCTTTTAGCTGAGATATGGGGAGAAATCCTTCTCCTTCCTTCCTGGCACAGATTCCCAGAGCAGCTGGGGCTGCCCCTGGATCCCTGGCAGTGTCCATGGCCAGGCTGGACAGGGCTTGGAGCAGCCTGGGACAGTGGGAGGTGTTGGGGTTGGAACTGGATGGGCTTTTCCCACCCAAACCTTTCTGTGGTTTTATGATTTTTCCACGATTTGAGCCAAATAACAACATCCTGCTGTACCCCACAGCATCACCAAGGAGAGGACAGAAGTCATCCTTCAGGGAACGTCCAGCCTGGATCCCAATGACCCCACAGCAGTCTGGGAGGAGTTTGAGTTCAAGTGCAAGCCCGGGGACTTGAGGAGGAGGCCGTGCCTCATCTCCCCCTACCACTATCGCCTCGACTGGCTCATGTGGTTTGCTGCCTTCCAGGTAGGTGCCTCTGAAAGCCTGGGCCTTCCTTGACCAGGAAAAACCAATTACATGGATTTACTACGTGTTGGGATCACAGGGGAGTGCTGGAAGCAGTGGCTGAGTTAATTATGTTTAAAAAAAAAAAAAGCAAGAACAAAGGTTGTGTTCCTAAAGGACTGTGCTACTGTAATGAAACTCTTGGCAATTTTATGTGAGGGTTTTTTTAAGGGTTTCTTAGCAATACCAAGAATCCCTGTTGGGGACAGCCCTGAGGACAGCAGCTCCCCATTCCCCACCTGCCCACACATGGACGTTGGTCCCTCCAAATATTTTTCTCATGTGATATCAGCAAACAGGTGACAGCCAGAAATTAAATAAGGGGGGGGAAGTTGAAGGTTAATTCTTGTTTAGCTTATTTTGCAAATCTTACCCATGTGACATGGGCTGGGTTTTCCAGAACTGACTGACAGCAGTGGCAGGAGGAAAAACCATGTCAGAGTACCCCAGGTTTTTCTCTTTGTCCCTGCATCCTCTCCTGGAATATCTTCTTCCCCCTGCCACAAGCTCCTGGGTTTGCTGTCGCTGTGGTATTTTCATTTCAGAGCCTTTGGGATTCCTGGGCCCTGACATCAGGCCATGGTTTGATATTTACCCTGCTGGTTTGTGTGTGCTGGAATTTCATTTAATCTGCATTAGGGCTGCTTATCCCTCAGGAAAATCACAGCCAAGGTCCAAACTGCAGCCAGGAGCAGGGCCTGGAATTAGGGAAAGGTGCAGGGGGTGGATGGAGCTGGGGGTTGAAGTCAGGCTGTGTTTTGGGAGGGGTCTGAGTGGGGAGAAATCAGCTTCCCCAGGCCCTGGTTGTGTCTGAGGTGTGAAAAAGGCTCTGCCCAGGGCAGAAATGTCCTGAAGGTTTCAAATAAAAGAGATCTGAGGTTTAAAGCTGAAGGATGAGACACAGGTGCTGCTGTGCCAAGGGGTGCTGCTGTACCTGGGAGGAGGAAGAGGAAATAACCCAGCCTCTTTGCATCCTTACTGTTAAATTCAATATTATCAGTGTTTAATTCATTATTTGTAGTGTTTAATTCAATATTATTAGTGTTTAATTCATTATTATTAGTGTTTAATTCATTCTTATTACTGTGTCATTCACTATGATCAGTGTTTATTATTATTAGTGTTTAATCCATTTTTTTTTAGTGTTTAATTCACTGAAATCTTCCCCCAAGCATTCCCATTGGAACACTTGGGAGTGTTGGTCTCTCTCGAGGTGTGTCCACAGCAGCTAATTAGCAGCAATTAGTGTTGAAGGTCTCTTTGCTCTAGCTGGAAAGTGGGAATGGAGATAACTCTTGTGGAAAGCAGTGGGAATGGGGGTAACTCTTGTGGAAAGCAGTGGGAATGGGGGTAACTCTTGTGGAAAGCAGTGGGAATGGGGGTAACTCTTGTGGAAAGCAGTGGGAATGGGGGTAACTCTTGTGGAAAGCAGTGGGAATGGGGGTAACTCTTGTGGAAAGCAGTGGGAATGGGGGTAACTCTTGTGGAAAGCAGTGGGAATGGGGGTAACTCTTGTGGAAAGCAGTGGGAATGGGGGTAACTCTTGTGGAAAGCAGTGGGAATGGGGGTAACTCTTGTGGAAAGCAGTGGGAATGGGGGTAACTCTTGTGGAAAGCAGTGGGAATGGGGGTAACTCTTGTGGAAAGCAGTGGGAATGGGGGTAACTCTTGTGGAAAGCAGTGGGAATGGGGGTAACTCTTGTGGAAAGCAGTGGGAATGGGGGTAACTCTTGTGGAAAGCAGTGGGAATGGGGGTAACTCTTGTGGAAAGCAGTGGGAATGGGGGTAACTCTTGTGGAAAGCAGTGGGAATGGGGGTAACTCTTGTGGAAAGCAGTGGGAATGGGGGTAACTCTTGTGGAAAGCAGTGGGAATGGGGGTAACTCTTGTGGAAAGCAGTGGGAATGGGGGTAACTCTTGTGGAAAGCAGTGGGAATGGGGGTAACTCTTGTGGAAAGCAGTGGGAATGGGGGTAACTCTTGTGGAAAGCAGTGGGAATGGGGGTAACTCTTGTGGAAAGCAGTGGGAATGGGGGTAACTCTTGTGGAAAGCAGTGGGAATGGGGGTAACTCTTGTGGAAAGCAGTGGGAATGGGGGTAACTCTTGTGGAAAGCAGTGGGAATGGGGGTAACTCTTGTGGAAAGCAGTGGGAATGGGGGTAACTCTTGTGGAAAGCAGTGGGAATGGGGGTAACTCTTGTGGAAAGCAGTGGGAATGGGGGTAACTCTTGTGGAAAGCAGTGGGAATGGGGGTAACTCTTGTGGAAAGCAGTGGGAATGGGGGTAACTCTTGTGGAAAGCAGTGGGAATGGGGGTAACTCTTGTGGAAAGCAGTGGGAATGGGGGTAACTCTTGTGGAAAGCAGTGGGAATGGGGGTAACTCTTGTGGAAAGCAGTGGGAATGGGGGTAACTCTTGTGGAAAGCAGTGGGAATGGGGGTAACTCTTGTGGAAAGCAGTGGGAATGGGGGTAACTCTTGTGGAAAGCAGTGGGAATGGGGGTAACTCTTGTGGAAAGCAGTGGGAATGGGGGTAACTCTTGTGGAAAGCAGTGGGAATGGGGGTAACTCTTGTGGAAAGCAGTGGGAATGGGGGTAACTCTTGTGGAAAGCAGTGGGAATGGGGGTAACTCTTGTGGAAAGCAGTGGGAATGGGGGTAACTCTTGTGGAAAGCAGTGGGAATGGGGGTAACTCTTGTGGAAAGCAGTGGGAATGGGGGTAACTCTTGTGGAAAGCAGTGGGAATGGGGGTAACTCTTGTGGAAAGCAGTGGGAATGGGGGTAACTCTTGTGGAAAGCAGTGGGAATGGGGGTAACTCTTGTGGAAAGCAGTGGGAATGGGGGTAACTCTTGTGGAAAGCAGTGGGAATGGGGGTAACTCTTGTGGAAAGCAGTGGGAATGGGGGTAACTCTTGTGGAAAGCAGTGGGAATGGGGGTAACTCTTGTGGAAAGCAGTGGGAATGGGGGTAACTCTTGTGGAAAGCAGTGGGAATGGGGGTAACTCTTGTGGAAAGCAGTGGGAATGGGGGTAACTCTTGTGGAAAGCAGTGGGAATGGGGGTAACTCTTGTGGAAAGCAGTGGGAATGGGGGTAACTCTTGTGGAAAGCAGTGGGAATGGGGGTAACTCTTGTGGAAAGCAGTGGGAATGGGGGTAACTCTTGTGGAAAGCAGTGGGAATGGGGGTAACTCTTGTGGAAAGCAGTGGGAATGGGGGTAACTCTTGTGGAAAGCAGTGGGAATGGGGGTAACTCTTGTGGAAAGCAGTGGGAATGGGGGTAACTCTTGTGGAGAACAGTGGAATGGGGGTAACTCTGGTGGAGAACAATGGGAAGGCGAGCTGCCCGGGCAGGGCAGTGAGCTGGGATGCTCAGGCATGTAAATACCTGCTTAAGCATGGAAGTAAATCCCTTTTGGAATGGCCACTGCTCGGCTGGAGCACTGAGAGCTGCGGATCTGCTGCCAGCTGCCTCCCTGGGCTGCCACAGAAATCCCTGGCTGTTCTTTGGACCTTGAGTCCCTCAGAGCAGCAGAAAGGAGGAGAAGCAGGAGCTGGAAGCCCAGGAGGAGCTCGTGAAGCCAGAGGAGTTGTGCAAAACCCGTGTGGGAGTTCACAGAGTCCATAAAGGAGCGAGTTCAGCCTCTGGATTAGATTTAATTTGTTTCCAGAAGTTCTGGGATGTTTCTCTGGCACCACTCTCCCGTTCCCCCAGGGCTGTCTGCACCTCCCTGGCAGTGGCCAGGGACAGGGCTGACATTCCCAGCTCTGACAGGCTGTGGAAAAGCCCCGGGCTTCAGGGAAGGATATTTCCCATCCCTTGTGCTGCTCCTGACAGGCTCCTCTTTGCACCTCATCAGCACCTGACAAACCACCCCGGGATCCCCCAGGAACTTCCCAGCCTGGATTGGCTCCAGGATTCACTGGGAAGTTGCCTCCAAGCTGGCCTTGGGCACTGTCAGAGATCCAGGGGCAGCCACAGCTCCTCTGGGCACGCTGTGCCAGCACCTCCCCACCCTCAGATAAGGCTGAAATTGTAGAATATGATTTAATCCCACAAAATTGAGGTTAAGCATTAGGAATAACTTTTTTCCCCTTGACACTTCCATGTGTTAGTGCACAAACATGCTGGTTTATTGTTAAAGGCTTATCTGTGCTGCAGCTACTGATGCCAAGCCTCCTGTAATTATTTGACTTCTGGTTTATGGTGGAATTTCGGGAATAGCCCAGCACTGAGCTGGGCTGGCACAAAAATCATTCCAATTCCTGGGTTCAGCATTGCTGATCAATAACAGCCAGAAAACCAAATACTGCTCGTACTTTTGGGGCTTTGAGCTGGTCAGTTCTGCTGCTGCTGGGCTGTCGTGGATTCCACAGAAGTTGGATGTTTATTGCCCCAAAGGGTTGTTGTCCACCAGTGGAAAAGGAAAAATCCAAGGGAAAGGCTTTTCCCTTCCTTATTGTGGCCTGAAGGGTATTTATTCTGTTTGGGGGCTGCATGGCCAACACAAGGCACCTTCTTGGTGCTCATCAAAGAAAAACTGCTCCAAAATAACAAAATACTGCTGTCCTCAGACTGCATTTAAAGCCCAGTGTCTGCTGGATCGTTCCTTGAAGCTGCTCCAAAAGTCTGTGGATGTAAAACCTGATGTGGAGCAGAGCTTGGGGTGCTCTGGGATGCAATGTGTGTTTTCCAGAGAGGAGGATATTTATAAAAAAACCTTCAGCTGCTTTCCTAAGAGCAGAGAGAGCCTCCAGCAGCAGGGCTGGTGCTCTGGGTGGTAACAGAATGCAGCCATGATAATTTCTGAAAAATCCTTTTGCCAGGATTTTCTACTGAAGAGCTGAAAAGCCTCAGGAAAGAAATATAAACAATTAACTGTCTGCTGCTGTAGAATGCAACAGGTGCATGTGTAATTAGTCCATGTTAGTTGTTTCTAATTAATGGCCAATCACATTCAGCTGGCTC